CTCATTCATTTATACCTCCTTTTTTCTTCTCTTCATTAATATTCACCTTTTTCATTCATTACTGTTTCTTCGTATCTTACTTCCTTTTATGATTTTTTCATTTTTTTTCATTCATCCATACATTCTTTCCTTCATACATTTAGTTTATAATTAATTTTCTTCACTTTTTTATTCTTACATTTTTATTTCATTCTTTTTATTCTTTCTTCTTTTGACGATTAATATTTTTCTTTCTTTATTTTATTCTTTCATTCATTATTTCTTGATTTTGTTTATTCCCCCTTTTCTTTCATTAATTCTTAACCTTTTTTCTTACATTTTCTTATTTAATTATTCTTTCTTTCTTTCTTTCTTTCTTTCTTTCTTTATTTTCCCTTTTTTATCTTCTTTACTACCTTTATCTTTCATTCCCGTCTTTCTCTTCATTCTCTTTGCTCATTTTTTCTTTTCCCTTTTCGCTGTTTTCCCTCCATTTCTTTCTTTCTTTCTTTCTTTCTTTCTTTCTTTCTTTCTTTCTTTCTTTCTTTCTTTCTTTCTTTCTTCACCGTTTTCTGTCTGTACTTTTCTATTCAGTTTTTCTTTTATTCTCTCAATTTTTTCATTTTCTTCTCTTTCTTTCTTTCTTTCTTATATGCAATTTTTTTTCCCTGCATTTTTCTTTCCTTCTTTGTTTTTTCTCACTTTCTATGCAATTTTTCTTTTTTCTCTGCATTTTTTCCTTCTTTCTTTCTTTCTTTCTTTCTTTCTTTCTTTCTTTCTTTCTTTTTTCTTTCTTGCTTTCTTTCGTTTTCACCTACTTTCTTTCTTTCTTTTTCTTTCTTTTTTCTTGCTTTCTTTCCTTTTCACCTACTTTCTTTCTTTCTTTTTCTTTCTTTTTTCTTGCTTTCTTTCCTTTTCACCTACTTTCTTTCTTTCTTTTTCTTTCTTTTTTCTTGCTTTCTTTTCTTTTCACCTACTTTCTTTCTTTCTTTCTTTTTCTTTTTTCTTGCTTTCTTTCCTTTTCACCTACTTTCTTTGTTTCTTTCTTTTTCTTTCTTTTTTCTTGCTTTCTTTCCTTTTCACCTACTTTCTTTCTTTTTCTTTCTTTTTTCTTGCTTTCTTTCCTTTTCACCTACTTTCTTTCTTTCTTTCTTTCTTTCTTTTTTCTTGCTTTCTTTCCTTTTCACCTACTTTCTTTCTTTCTTTTTCTTTCTTTTTTCTTGCTTTCTTTCCTTTTCACCTACTTTCTTTCTTTCTTTCTTTTTCTTTCTTTTTTCTTGCTTTCTTTCCTTTTCACCTTTCTTTCTTTCTTTCTTTCTTTCTTTTCTTTCTTTTTCTTGCTTTCTTTCCTTTTCACCTTTTCTTTCTTTCTTTCTTTCTTTTTTTTTTCTTTTTTTTCTTGCTTTCTTTCCTTTTCACCTACTTTTTTTTTCTTTCTTTCTTTTTCTTTCTTTTTTCTTGCTTTCTTTCCTTTTCACCTACTTTCTTTCTTTCTTTTTCTTTCTTTTTTCTTGCTTTCTTTCCTTTTCACCTACTTTCTTTCTTTCTTTCTTTCTTTTTCTTTCTTTTTTCTTGCTTTCTTTCCTTTTCACCTACTTTCTTTCTTTCTTTCTTTCTTTCTTTCTTTTTCTTTCTTTTTTCTTGCTTTCTTTCCTTTTCACCTACTTTCTTTCTTTCTTTCTTTCTTTTTCTTTCTTTTTTCTTGCTTTCTTTCCTTTTCACCTACTTTCTTTCTTTCTTTCTTTCTTTCTTTTTTCTTGCTTTCTTTCCTTTTCATCTACTTTCTTTCTTTATTTATTTACCGTTTTCTGTCTATACTTTTCTCTTCAATTTTTCTTTAATTCTTTCATTTTTTTCTTTTTCTTCTGTTCTTTCTTTCTCTCTTTCTGTTTTTTTGTTTGTTTGTCTGTTTGTTTGTTTCTTCCTTTCTTCTATGTTTTTCTTTCGTCTGTGCATTTTTCTTTCTGTCTTCCCGTCTTTCTTTTTTTCTTTCTCGCGTTCTTTCTTCTATGCAATTTTTCTTTCGTCTGTTCGTTTTTGTTTGTTTCTTTCTTTCTATGCAATTTTTCTTTTTTCTGTGAATTTTTACTTTCCTTCTTTCTTTTTTTCTCACTTTCTATGCAATTTTTCTTTTTTCTGTGCATTTTTTCCTTCTTGCTTTCTTTTTTCCTTGTTTTCTTTCCTTTTCACCTACTTTCTTTCTTTCTTTCGATGCAATTTTTTTTCTGTGCATTTTGTTCTTTCTTTCCTTCCCTCTTTCTTTCTATGTATTTTTTCTTTTTTCTGTGCATTTTTCTTTCTTTCTTTCTTTCTTTTGTTCATTTCTTAACTACATATAATGTTTTATTCTTGTTACTATACATTTTTTCAAACTGTAACCCTCCCACTTTCTATTCCTTACAAAAATGACATCATCTTTCAAAACCCATTGTTCAGCAAGTGACCCCTAACACTGATCATGACCTTCCACCCCCAACCCTCTTCGAATGTGTCCACCTTCTATTTCGTTTCTTCATATTTATCTCATTCATTTCTCAAAACTTTTTAAAAGTTTTCTTTCCCGTCACTCCTTTTCCTCACCACAGCATGGGCAAAAAACATTTTGCCCCACCCCCCTGGACATTTTAGCGATCGCAGCTTGCTTGATCGCAGTGGAGTTTAACGTAAAATATATGCAAGGCAGGTGGGGCGGGGTGGTGGTGGTGGGCGTAGTGATAAAGACGGAGAGTCGGGGAGTCATTTCTGAAGATGTGTAACAGCTTGCCTCGGGACGTCAGAAGGACATTAAGTCTTAAACAACTTTTGACTACATCTGTCGTTGGAAAGGGGGAATAGGAAAAGAAAGAAGGCAAAGAAAAGAAGAAGAAAGAAAGTAGAGAGAGAGAGAGAGGGGGAGAAAGAAAGAAGAGAGAGACAGAAGAGAGAGAGGGGGGGAGAAAGAAGAGAGAGGGAGAGAAAGAAAGAAAGAAGAGAGAGAGAGGGGGAGAAAGAAAGAAGAGAGAGAGAGACAAAAGAGAGAGAGGGGAGAAAGAAAGAAGAGAAGGAGAGGGAGAGACAGAAAGAAGAGAGAGAGAGAGACAGAAGAGAGAGAGAGAGAGAGAGAGAGAGAGGAAGAAAGAAAGAAGGAAGTGTCGGAAAAAAGCGGAAAGCGAAAGAAATATAATGCAAACTTATGAGAGAAATAAAAAGAGAGAAAGTGAGACGTAATGGATGGAAATAAGGAAGAAGAAAATGAAAGAGAAAGTGAGAAAGAATGCAAGGAAATGAAGAAGGGGGGAAATAAAAGAAAAAAAAAACGAAGATAGAAAATATTGACGGAGAAAGAAAAAAAAATAAAAGAGAATATTGAAAGATAAACAGAAAAGATAAGAGAGAAAGATTTAATGAAAAAAAAAGGGAAAGAAATAAGTGAGAGAGGGAGAGAGATAAGAAAGGAAGGAGATAAGAGTCGTAATGAATGGAAGTAGGGAAGAAGAAAGTGAAAGAGAAAGTGCAAGAGAAGGAAGGAAGGGAAAAGGAGAAGAAAAAAACGCAACAGAGATAAAACATATCGACGGAGTGAAAAAAAGAGACAACGGATAAAAAGAAAATAAGAAATACATATAACATCATTACTTGATAAGACACCAGAAGTTTTAAAACAAAATGGCTATTTTTGAAATGATTTTATAACATGTTATAATTTTCGAATAAATAATTATATTTTCTCTACTCTGTATTAAGCACTCTTTTAAGAATAGTATTTATTGGTTATTGGAATTTATTTCGTATACACCAATCCTATTCTTGGGCACCAACGGCTTAGTGGTAGAATCCAGACAGACGCCAATTCAGTCTGGTTTCGATCTTAGCTAGAGGCAACCGGACGTCTAGCCACAATGATGAGCTGTGATACAGCGAAACAATCTGTCTGTAGATGACTATATATATATATATATATATATATATATATATATATATATATATATCCGAATACAGGGTTGGTATGGATGGAATAAAATTCTCATAACCAAAACCACTATTTTTAAAAAAAAGAGGAAATAATATTTATTCAAAATTAATATATATATATATATATATATATATATATATATATATATATATATATATATATATATATATGTGTGTGTGTGTGTGTGTGTATATATATATTAAAAATAAATAACATAAGCATGTTATAACATCACTACAAAATGGTCATTTTGTTTCGACACTTCTGGTGTTTTTATCACGTGATGGATCAACACCATCACTTGACAAGACACCGGAAGTGTTAAAATAAAATCACTATTTTTGTAGTGATGTTATAATATGCTTATGTTATAATTATTGAATATATATATATATATATATATATATATATATCATGATTAATTCATCTAGTCCTGAAGAATCCTCAACAGAATGCAGAAAGCAATGAACGGTCGTTTCGTCCTATTTTTAGGACTCATCAGCAATGCGCATCCACTACCGAGAATCGAACCTGGAGCGTTATGATATGACACTGGTTTGTTACCTCATCTTCACCGAGACACATTGGTCCAGTGGGCAGGACGTTTGTGTCATATCGTAACGGTCCAGGTGGATGCGCACTGTTGATGAGTCCCAAAAATTAAGACGAAACAGCCGTCCAGTGCTTTCTGCATTCTGGTGAGGATTCCAGTAGATGCGATAAATTGATTATGATTATTCAAATCCCCAATAATATATAAATATATATATATATATATATATATATATATATATATATATATATATATATATATATGGTATCAGATGACAATTGGAAAAAAAATCATACATTTTGCCGACGCGTTTCGTCTTCCGACTTTTTCAAGGCAAAAATGAAATCGAAATGTTTTTGCTGTTATAGTTACATTAAAATTCAAAATTAAAAAGATAGACGCTTGTGTCTAAGCCTTTTTTCTGGTTAATGTAAATTACCTTTATAGTAAGGGATTATTATTATTATTTTTTTTTTTTCCATGTCGACAATATAGTTAAATTCCCAGATGAATTCT